TTCTTCTTATGTGATAGGAAGGGCTTCCACACTACATAATAGTTTCCTTGATTACGAACTATAATCTAATAAGTGATATAAGACAGTACTCTAGTCGACCCAAACTAGTAGTCTACACCTCTCAATCTCACATAGCTATAACCATAGCTCCCAATTATCCCAAATTTGAGTATACCATACAAAACAAATTGCATGATCGTGAAAAATGTTTGAATGATAAAAACAATATCAATTAAGCACAAAGGAAAGATCTTACATTTATTTATTTATCAAACCGTTCTCCTTGATGGCCTATGCATAGCTCTGAAAGAACGGGGTTGGAAATAGCACTCTGAGTGTAGCTCTCCTTGATGGTTGTAAATTCGATAATGACAAATACGACGAAGGAGTGATCTGAACAACTTTTGGTTGATTTTAATGAGAGTTATTGTTTCAAAACTCCAAGTCATTGCTCTATCCCCCCTCTCCCGATTCTCTCTCAATTAGGTTTGGAGTGTTGTATCTAAACAAGAGGAGAGAATATACGCCTCAATTGCATCAAACGGCTGAGATTAGGTCTCAAAATCTAAAAAAATCACTCTAGGCTCATCGATGAGGGGGAGGCATCATCATTGACATTGGCTCATTGATGTCTATCATGGCTCATGGATGACCAAAAACTCTCTGTAATTTTTTCCTTCATTAATGGCAAGTTAGAATCGATGACTCCATCATCAAGCTCATTGATGAGGCCAGGACTCATTGAGGAGGCTAAGGATAATCAATGACCAAAGTTTTTTGTAAAATTTCTTTCATTGATGGCAAGTTAGAATCAATGAAACGAACCTCGCTCATCGATGAGCACTTCTACTCATTGATGAGTAACTGTTCTACAGATCGTATTTGAGCTGAACTTCACTATTTTTCGCCTCAAACTCGATTCTAACTTGTTAAAACCTACACAGATAGTCTCAAATATAAATTAGACTCAAATGGATATTTGTTATTATTCAAATAAAAGAAATTATACGGACATAGTCCTAAGACCCCGGCTTGGCCCAGGTTAGGCTTGCTCAGCCCATTTGAACACCCCTAGACCTCTCTAGGAAGGTAGAGGATCACTCCCTTCGGCAACAGAATAGGACATTACCTGGTGGCTTCACCCAATCACGACTCTCCTTTTCTTTGGATTAAGTGGGAGCCTCACTAAGTTTAAGAAAACTTACCAAAAGCTCAATTTCTATTTCTTGTACCTCCCAACAAAATCAAAATGATGTACCTTCTCCTTTCTGTCCATCTTACACTTCTTCAAACTGTTAGAGACTTATAGGACTTTCTCCAAAAAGGATTTGGTTGTAACCCAAACACACCTAGAACAACCACCAACAAAGGAAACCAAACACCTATTACCTCCTAATAATGCCCTCTTGGGAGGCCTCCAAACATCCACGTGAACTCCTCCAGAACGACCCTTAGCACGGTGAATAGAGGTGCCAAACTTCACCTCGGTCTTCTTGCTCACATCAACATGTTCACTGAACTTCAAACTACAGGTCTTCGCACCCTCTTTCAATCTATGCGAGGAATCAATACTGGAATGGCAAAGCCCCAAATGCCGTAGTCTAGTTGAATCAATAGAAGTCGTCAGTTCTCCACCTGCCACTATACCTCCAGTCAAGTAATACAGGTTATTCCTCCTGACGCCCTTCATCACAATCCAAGAGTCTTCCATAATCTTGAGAACCATGTCCTCAATTCGAACATTCAGACCCTCTCCAACCAAAGCTCCAATTGAGATCAAGTTCTTCCTCAAAAAAGGAACATATCTCACATCATTTAACTCTCTAACAATCCCGTCAAACATTTTTATGCGAATTCTTCCTATCCCAAGGATCTGGCATGCACAGTAATCAGCCATGTACACCATACCACTATCCAGCTTCTCAAAACTGGAGAACCATTCCCTTCTAGGACACACATGATAGGTCGCACCACTATCCAACATCCACTCGGATTCCTCCGAATAGCTACATGTAGGAATGATAGAAAGCGAATAAATAGAAGAGTCAAAAATATTACCATCCGATACGATGTTTGCTTCTGATGATGATTGCTTCCCTTTTCCCTTCTGCTTATTCTTCATTCATTCGTCGAGCTTTGGACAGTCTTTCTTCCAATGACCAGTCTTCTTGTACCAAGCACACTGATCTTTTCCTACTCTAGACTGTGACTTTCAATTCTTTCGGTTCGGATTTTTCCCTCTTGCGACCAACACCTCTGCTACTGACTCAGTCGAAGTCTCCTTATCCTTCTTCCGAAGGTGATAATTCACCAGTGCAACAGTGACCTCATTATACGAGAGAGATGCCTTTCCATTAATCAAAGTAAGGACGAAGGTCTCATATTCCTTGTCGGGCAAGGAACTCAACAACAGCAACGCCTTGTCCTCATCTTCAATCATGACATCCACATTCTCCAAATCCGCAAGAAGCTTTGTGTAGGTGTTCATATGATCTCTAATTAAGGTTTCCTTCTTCAACTGGAAACGATAAAGTCTCCTCTTCAAATGCAAGCGGTTCTCAACACTCTTTGTCAGATACTTGCTTTCGAGAATCTCCCAAATCTTCTTTGTAGAAGTCTCATTCATCACATCATATTTTAGATCTTGAGTCAAACAAGACATAATCACACCACACGCCGTTCGATTCATCTTCTTCCAAACCTTCTCTTCAATGTCATCTGGCTTGTCATCTAACTCCAAGGTATCCTCTAAATTCTGCGCGTTCAGCGCATCCAAAACATCGCATCTCCATAATCCAAAATTGTTTGTGTCATTAAACTTCTCCATATCTATCATCATAGAGTGAATATTCAAACTCTGAATGGTCTTCGTGCCAGAAGCACCACCCTCGATATTCAAAGCACCTTCTTTCCCCGACATCTTTCTCAACGCACCAACGAACGAAGAATAGATCCAAAACTGAAAAGATAGAGTCTTTACCAAAAGATTCTACATTTATCACCAAACGAAGCCCTAGACGAGCCTCCAAATTGATCTACTCCTCAAACCAAACCCTAGATCTGGAACCTGGGCTCTGATACCACTTGTTGTGCGTAGCAGAAATTTCGGTAGAGTTTCTGGTGCACTATAAGAGAGAAAGATCAATAATAATTCTTGTCTCACCAAGGAAACAAGAATTTAAAGCGAATATCTCAACAAAGTGAGATATCGGCTCTTCCTCTCATCAGTTCTAGGACTGACTTGTCAAGGGATCCTAAAAACTATTACAATAACCACAAACACAAACAAACCAATTTTACGTGGTTCGGCAAACTGCCTACGTCCACGGGACAATGAGGGGGAGATCTACTATTAGAGAGGAGATAATACAACCAGGATTTACAATCACTCAATCTACACCCTCACACAATTAACTCTCTCAAAAGCACAAAAGGACTCTTTGCAAGCCGCCCAAAAGGAACGCTGCCAAATCAGAAGTCCTCCCGCAGCCTTCTCTTGCTCTCTGCCTCTACCTGCGCAAAGCCTTGATCTGCGTTTTCTCTTTGCACTTCTGCTCTTGTGCCGCCTGCAGCCGCCAAACTCCTTCCTCTCAATCTTGCACCAAAAAACCCTAGGCTAAAATATGGTTCCTATTTATAGCCTAGAGGTTACATCAATGCGAAACCTAGGTCTTGGTTTTTATCCGCTGGATTCAGCAGCTCTTCACATTTTTTGTGGCCCCCACATGAAACTCAGCTCTTCACGTGGTCACGTGGTTGCTGCTGTTTTCAGCTCCTCACCCAAAAAACCCACTGGTTCTTAGCCGAACTCCTTCCTCTGTGTCTCTTGATAGGGGCTTGGGTGTGGTACATGTGGCCCCCACGAGAACCCAACTCTTCACGTGTTCACAGATATTGTTAGAGTATAAAAATATAACCCTCAAGTCCATCAAAAATTTAAAGTTTTGATGCTAAGCATGGACTTTAATGCTCGTTTGATATGAGAGAATCAAGTCAAGTGAAAAAGGAATGAAAATAAGGGTTAAAATGGAATAAGTATGGGGATGGAATGCTCATTCATGCTCTGACATTTAGGTGCGATCTTAGAATGAACTGAAAATGACAACTTTTTATTATTTTTGGTATGAGAAATTAATATGTAATCAAAGCATTATTTCAAACTTTTGTTTCCCACTTATGTGAGAATGTCCATTTCTTACAATCTCATTGAGCTCATTCCCAACTTCTTTTAAAAAAAAATATTATGCTTAATATGTGTGAATGAAAAGTAAAAATAATCATTCCATTTTCACCCATTTCTGCATTCTCAACGAGAGATAATAAATATTGCTATCAGTGTTTCATGAATTTTGGTCAAATTTGTCGACCAGATAATGTAATGTTCTCTTTTCTTTTCTATTATTTTCTATCTCGAGAGGGAAATAATGACGAACTTATTTCAAATAACTATATAATTTGGGAGATTTGTAAGCATATCATATGTTAATTTCATTTTAAGCATAACTACAGGTACTAATTCAATTGAAATCATTATTAAAAAACAAAGCAAAATCCTACATGGATTTTAATTTTGCGAGTGATATGGGCCCAAATAAGTTTGCCATCTCTTATTCTGCAACTGAATATTTTTTTTTCTGGACCATATTTGCCCCTGTCATGATGATAATGGCTTATGATTCTATAAATAATAAATTAACCAAATATTCAATGGCAACGTGAAAAATAAATTATTATCGCCTTGGCGGATTGGAGATAGCATGAAGAAGCTCTCCCACCCATCCCCACCCCCCTCTTTCCCGGCCTCCACGTTATTTTTGGAAGCACGACGAGTTCAAAGAAACCACATACTTTCTTAAAACAAACTTAACGAAAAGAGTGTGGATTTTCTACAATATTGATTGTAAAAAATCCTACAATTAGTTAGGTATGCTAATATTATTAGCTTATCTTATCTGAATAATTAATATCATTCATAAGGTCCGTTGAGTGAAGAGTTTTAATTAGTGAGTTGTAGAGAATCTCTATAATTAAGGGTGTAGAGGATCTCTACCCTTAACAAAACATCTCAATACATTAAAAAAAATTTCTAAAAAGGAAGAGAAAAGGTGAAAATAGTAGAAAGAACTAAAAACATCAACTAACTAGTGTTGTCTCAATCTCTTCACATGAAGTTTCTAAAAGCCGAATTTAGTTTCTTCAAAAGATCCTTCACCGTCATTGCGAACCCCTCTTCAACCTGGAAAGAGAATTCATAGCAAAGTGACTTATCAAATTAAACTTGGTTTCTAATTTTCTATGTAACATAAATATAAAGTTAATAGAATTCTTAACATTCATATCAATCTAAGTTATATTTAACTCTCCCCCTTATAATGATTTTTGTGCTATGCTAAAAAACCTTTAAATTCCAACTTTGCTTTACAAGATAGAATAAACAGGGAAAAGTATATATATTTCAAATTTTTACAATGATGATTATGTCTGAACTCAAAAATCTTCAATACCCGAAGTTTAGATATCATGGCAAGAACTAACATTATGTTTAATTTGTTAAATTCTAGACGAACAATGTACTTTTACATAAATTCTTAACAATATTGTGTAATCAATCATACTACACTAGAGTTATCACTTAAACGCCTTATAGTATCCCCACTTTGCACTTATACACCTTAAAGTTTTTAAATTTATTACTTAAATAGCTTCTGCTATGCAAACGTGAGAATATTTCCCCGAATGCGTTCTCTTTCGGTATTCACATACTAATTTTAGAACTTACTAACACTTAATTTTTGTTTAATGTATATTGGTAAACCTATTGAAATTGAACTTCAAAGGAGAGTTTTTGTAGCTTGAAATTGAATTCAAGTAGGTTCACCGTAAATTCGACAAGGTTAAGTGTTTAAAAGTAAATTAGCATGTGTGTTTCATATGAATATGTTCGGGGGAAATTCTTGCCTTCGCATCACAAAAGCACAAAAGTGCCAATTTTAATAACTTCAGGTGTGTAAATGTTGCTAAAAGCAAGTGAATGTATAGTAGTGCAAAACAGGGGAAACTATAAGGTAATTAAGTATTAGTTAGCTCACATGGAAAATTTGCATGAAATCTAACCTGAGCCGTCACATTTATGTCAAGAAAGTGATCTGAAAAGGGTAAGGAACTCGAGTTGATGACACTAAGGTGGAGTTTCTCAATCTCACCAAGAACCTTGAGCGTCACTCCTCGTCGATTTTTGCAATGAATCCTGATAAAGACCGCCGTTGCTGATATTTTTGCCTCGATCTCAGGGAGAGTACTATGAGCAGAGGGGACACTTTCTTCGCCCTCATCACTGGCAACAGAGAGTTGGGATTTTGTAGTTGAGACCGAAGGTTCTACTGTTTCTTTGGATGCCTGCTCTTCGAGAGTCTTTACTTTTTCTTCCATTTGTTTCAGGTAATCGATTGTATGCATGAGAATAGAGAGCTTGTCTCTCTGCAACAGAAGCAATGCAATACTGATTATGTAAGATCACAGGACATGTTGAATTACTCTGAAGATTTCAGTATATGTACATAGGATGGAATTATCGGCAGAACTTTATAAGATATTGTCTAATTGCACTTATACAGTGCAGTCCAGTGTATTATGTACATGATTGACCTCTTAAAAGAAGGGCTTAATTGCTGATAAACCCCCTATACCTTCCTCAACCTGGAACCCACTCGAGTTCTGCTGTTTCAGAAAGACAGCCCGAGTGAAATTTTTTTGACTCTTTTACTCTTAGGTCTATTTGTCATCCAAAAAAAACTTTCTTTGCGAATAAATAAAAGAGTAAAAAACAAAATAATCAAGGCATATGTGCAACAGAGGAACAAGAAGTGTCTATCTGCAAATGGGCAATGGTAATTTTTTTTTGGGGGGAGGGGTGGAGCGGTGTTGGGGGGTTCTATCAATTAGCCCTTAAAAGAAAGTATTAGTCTTAGTAAGTTACTGAATTCTTGTTGTACCAATTATTAGAATTAACATGAAACTATAAACTTTAATTCTCATCACAACTTTGGAGTTATAGTGTAATATTGAAGGAACTTTAATATGGTACTAGAGCAATGAAAGTTCTAATCCCATTGGCCATAAATTAAAGCAGATTCTCTAAAAATTGCCACTATTTTATGGCTCCAACTTTCGGCCCATAACAAAAAGCGCTCAACTAGGGCAATGTTAGAAATAATATAAAATTATAATTCTTACCACACCACACTATGGAGTTTTGATCTAATGGTTAGAGGGACTTTAGAACCAATGACTTTAATTAAGCAAAATTAATATGTTTGAGTTGTAGGGCTACAAATATTTTGTCACCGCAGAGATCTATGAAAATTTCATGTTTCTGTCGAAACTTTGAGTTCTCGGTTTCTAAATGGTAGGTGCTAGTGACAATGGATTGCTGTACTTGATGATATGTGCATGAAAACGGAACTCTAAACTCACTCTTCACCTTGCAATTACTGCAAAGCATGTAATTGTTCAAAATACCAAAAGGAATTCAAACATTTTGCAAAAAAAAAAAATTCTCATGATAATATGTAATTAATATAAATGAATACCAAGAAATAAAGCAGGATTTTAATGTTGTAATGTTGCAATTTATACAGATTTATTTCAATTTGCTCTGCCTCTACTTTTCTAACTGTTGTAACGATGGGGCTACATAGACATAAAAGATGTCTATACAAAGTGGATAAAAAACACAGTACTATGTAAACACGTACATACAGAAAACAGCACACAAGGATTTAACGTGGTTCAATCAATATAACCTACGTCCACGGACGAGAACAACAGAGAACTTCACTAATCACAAAAGAGAAGATCACAAAGGAGATCACTCTCTAACCACACCAAATAATCACACAAAGAAAGAGGTTAACTCTCAGAGAAGATCACAAAGAAGATCACTCTCTAACCACACCAAATAATCACACAAAGAAAGAGGTTCTCTCTCTCTCATGCTTCTCACCCTTCACCACTCCTCCATTTATAACCTTCCAATATTAATATAAAATTGCTAATGGTTGGTGTAATAGGGAGTTAGGTTAGGAAATAGTTGGGCTAGAATGTAGGGAGGTAGGAAGTTCTTGGCTTAGCTGAGCATGTTCCACTCTTGACCTTATAAAAATGATCAAAGGTGACCTTACTATTATGTAAAGATTTAATTGAGGATATAACCCTTCTACAATGGCCAAATTGAACTTACTACTTCTGTACCTTTATGTTTTCAGATAGACCCCCAGAGTTAATTTAAAAACAAAAAATTTTTAAACCCTTTTCAAGTATATCCGCAACAATAAATTTTCCCTGGGGGGTCAATCTGCAATAATAAAACTATAGGAGTAGTACGATCGAATTTGGTGATAGTACAGTGATTTTATCCGCAATCAACCCTTTATGTAATATATGAGATTCTGACTCAAAAGATCTCTACTGTTATATTTTTCTGGATCTATAGTTCTCATGACTTGAGGATCTCTACTGTTATATTTTTCTCTACTGTCATATTTTTCTGGATTCATAAATGGTAGATAACTCTACTACAATACCACTAGATCAAATACTGCATGTCATATCTAAACACAAGATAAATGAGGGAAAACACCTTCTTTAAGCCAGGAATGATCATTGATAACGTAAACAACTGCTCAGATATATTCTCCCTCCTCTTCCTCTCAGCAAGTATATGATCTTGGTTAAGGTCAATAGACCTACTCCGCTTTGAAGTGTCGGCAAATTTCTCAGGTTCCTCAACATCCGAAGGACTTCTCGGCGAATTAATCAAAGGAAGGAGAAAATAAGTTAAAAAGTTAAAAACTCCATGAAAAATAATTGAATGATTTCTAGAAGCCAAAATAAGATTTGGCCCTGTTTCGACTTACTGGGTCTGAAAACAAATCAGCTGCTGGCTTTTCGATAGAGGAAGTGGCGATGATGATGGAGGATTCAGCATTGGGACTCAATTGATGCTGATAAATACTCAAGCAAAATTAAAGGGTATAAGTGACAAAACTAAAAGGGTATAACTGGTTACTTAAAGGACTGAAGAAGAATGTCCTCTTCAACATATATAAAAAGGAAAGGGAAAAAATTAACTTACTCAAGCAGTTAACTAATCCTGTTCTTATTATCTCTCCCTCTATGTAATGCATAACAAAATTGAGCACGAATACAATTGGCAATAATCAGTATATTGAGGAAACTTCTTTTTGGGGAATGATAATCTAAAGCAATTAATCAAAATTAAGATAGCTGTCAAAAAAAGGACTTCAAAAATAAAATAAAATAAAACAAAACTCAAGAAATAAAATCAGGAAGCACAAATATATGTCCAAAATTTACAGTGAAATTTAATAAACTAGGAAAGAATTAAAAATTTTGAAGTACATAAGAAGGGAAAGCTCACCTTGAGCAAAGTATTGATACCTTTTCAGATCCTCTCTTACAGCAAGCGAAGGTCAGCCTCCTCTAATCAAAGAAAGTTACGGAGTTTTGGAGTTGAACACTTTATTATAGGGTTAATTGGAAGGTTTAAAGGGTAACCATCAATTACTCATAATTTTTTATTGAATTTAATAATTAAATTTCTTGACGTTTCGATGAAGCAATCACTTAGTTACTTGTAGTAACTGTACGCTCAACGTGCTTATAGTATATAGAAAAAAGAATAATAAATTTCAGATAGCCCATTAACTTTGTAGCTATTATTAAATAACCGCTCACGATGACGTTTAAAATATCAAAACATTACCTCAAGTTTAGAGGTTATCAAAAAATTCTCTTCAAACCTTAAAAGCTGAAAGAGTTATTCTCATAACCGGTAAACCGGAGGGGAGTTTTCTAATATTTTTGAAGTTATGGGAATTGACTGATAATAATCCAAAGTACAGGGTTTTTTTGAAATTTATCCATAGGGAGATGCTGGATAGCAGGTTACTAATATGTTTCCTAATTTATTTTGGTAACAGGTTATTGGGACTCCTAATCTGTTTTGGTAATATGATTCCTAATCTGTTTTGGTAACAGGTTATTAGGATTCTTAATCCGTTTTGTTTTTTGTTTTAGAATTCCTAGTATGTTTATGATTTTAGGATTTTTATATATATGGAACAATTGGAAGAGAGAACTGAGAAGAAAATTGGGGATATTTGGAGCACGGATAAAAGATATTTTCTGAACTATTGGTTAGGGTTTTGTTTGGAGAGAATTAGAGATTTGTTGGTGAAATTAATTGGTGAGTTTAAGTGATTTGTAATCTCAGTTTATACTCTTCTTCTCTATTAGTGAAAAACCCTATCCCCTTCTTGCCCCGTGGACGTAGGCAACTTGCCGAACCACGTTAAAATTGGTTATTTGTGTTTGTGGCATTGATTTGGTTCGTTTGGCCTTCTCTCGACATTCGTTTGATTTGATTTCTCATAGCACGTTGGTTTGGTTGTTTGGCTTCCGTAGCGCTCAACAAGTGATATCAGAGCTCGGGCTACGCTTGGGCTATTTGGAGGAGTAGGTCGTTTTGGAGGCTCGTCTAGAGCTTCGTTTGATGATAAAGGTGGGATCTTTTTGGTAAAGACTCTATCTTTTTCAGTTTGGGATCTATTCTTTATTTGTTCCGTATTTTTTTGGTGCTTTGAGAAAGATGGTCGGGAAAGAGAGAGTTGTGGAGGGTACTTCCGACGTAAAGACCGTCCAAAGTTTGAATATTCAATCTATGAAGATAGATGTGAGAAGTATAATGGCCTAAACAATTTTGGTCTTTGGAGATGTGAAGTTTTGGATGCGCTCAATGCGCAAAATTTGGAAGATACTTTGGAGTTGGACGGGAAACCGGATGACATTGAGGAGAAGGTTTGGAAAAAGATGAATAGAACGGCGTGTGGTGTGATTAGATCTTCCTTGACTCAAGATTTAAAATATGATGTGATCAATAAGACTTCGGCTAAGAAGATTTGGGAGATCCTAGAGGGTAAGTATTTAACCAAGAGTGTAGAGAACCGCTTGCATTTGAAGAGGAGGCTTTATCGCTTCCAATTGAAGAAGGAGACCTCCATTGGTGATCACATGAACCACTACACGAAGCTTCTTGCGTATTTGGCGAATGTAGATGTGATGATTGAAGATGAGGACAAGGCGTTGTTGTTGTTGAGTTTCTTGCCTGACGAGGAATATGAGACCTTCGTTCTTACTCTTATTAATGGGAAAGCATCTATTTCTTATAGAGAGGTCACCGCTGCACTTGTTAATTATCAGCTTCGAAAGAAAGATAAGGAGACTTCATATGAGCCGGTAGCGAGGGCATTGGTCGCAAGAGCAAAGAGTACAAACCGTGGTAGGAGGTTGCAGTCTAGAGGGGCACATCTTGGAGTTCGTAGAAATCAGTGTGCCTTTTGTAAAGAGGATGAACATTGGAAAACCGAATGCCTAAAGTTGGTTAATCGAGAGGGGAAAGTTATTCAAGCTTTAGAGGTGAATGTTGTCAAGGCTAGTGGCAATAATTCAGATTCGGATTTTTCGGGCTACTCATTATCTGTACTACCGTTAGTTTGTGTTGCCTACTCTATAGAGTGGATGTTGGATTCGGGTGCTTCTTACCATATTTGCCCTAGGAGAGATTGGTTCTCCAGCTTTCAGGAGTTGGAAAGAGGGGAGGTCGTGCTCATGGGTAATAATCATGAATATCCTATTGGTAGTATCGGTACCGTTCGAATTAGGATGTGTGACGGAGTAATTCGGTAGTTGGTTGGAGTGAGGTTTGTTCTTCAGTTGAAGAATAACATCATTTCACTTGGAGTTTTGGAGGCAGCAGGCTATAGGGTGTGTTTAGGTCAAAAGTTGATGTTTTCATTGGTGACGAACTCATTACAATTTTAACCATTATAATAAGTTTAACAAAAAAAGAAAGTCGATCTTTTTATAAGTTCTCCTTACACAATAAAAATAAAAATTACAACTTTGTCAAAAAACACACAACAGATGTTTTATCGCCTGCTATTTGCGTGGAAACTTTGCCTGTGCCGGGGACGTTGATATCTGTGGACCATCACAGATCAGATTTGGTTGACAGATTGATAATCAAAGCTCCTACTTCACGAAGGAAGTATTTGCAGAAGTGGTAATCCTGACTAAGCGAGGTTACGACTCTTCTCGAGATTAATACTAAGCTTAAATCCCGAGGAATGGTGGGAAATAGGTTTCAGATCTCTTGAACTCTTTTTTTTATTGAGGAACTTTGCCAAGATTTGCTAACCCTCTGAAATTCATGCTCCACTCTCCAATTTGGCAGCACTTCGCCCTCTTGACGTCCGCCCCTGTGAAATGAGCCCATAGGCCTGTATTTATAGGCTTCGGTTAGGGTTTTTTGATAAGAACGATGGATTTGGCCTTATCCTTAGTTGACAACTGTGTAACCACGTTTAGAGATAACATCTAGGCAGTTAGGAACCTCAGGAACAGAAGAAATCCTGTGAAAACTTATCAAAAACCGTCAAAACGTATTTTCGGATCGAATCTGGCTGAACCAAGTGAAAAACGAACCGAACCTGTTCGGTTCAGGCGCGAACCACCAATTGGTGGCTCGGCCTGGTCCGAGCCACCAATTAGTGGCTCGGTCTTGGCCGAGCAACCAATTAGTGGCTCGGCCCATGGCTGAGCCACTGGCATGGCCGAGTTGTTTTGACACGACTCGGTCGCCAGGGGTTTTCTCGGTATGTTCGGTCTTGACATGTTTCGTCCTTCTGCATGCATTCTGTCATTTTGTTGATTTGTACACTTCACCGATTCGTTTCATGTATTTCGTGAGCGTGTAAGTCACTTGACGGTGGCCGACGGGCTTGCAGACTACTTGGTTCACCGTTTCGATGGCCGGTGAGCACGTGGGCCATTTGGAGCTGGCTGATGAGTGTGCGGACCACTTGAATGTAGCTGGTGAGCGCATGGGCCAGTCGTTTTGCTGTTTTGGTGGCCGATGAGTGTGCGGGCTACTTGGAGCTGGCTGATGAGTGCGCGGGCCACATGGAGGTGGGCGGTGAGCGCACGGGCCACTTGGTTTGCCATTCTGGTGGCCGATGAGCGTGCGGGCCACATGAAGGTGGCCGGTGAGCACGCGGGCCACTCGGATAAACCTTCTCGACTTGGATGATGACGTTTATCGTCTCCTCTTTCTATCGAGCTGCATGCGGGAACCCACATATATTTTTAGATGCCTACAGATACCCCCTCCAAAGTATTTCAGACTCATTCTTTTATAGAGGAGTCTGGAATTCTTTGGATAAGATAGGCCATGTTTTTAACCTCTTCAGTATTTTGTCGGGGAGATTACGTAGAAGGGCCTATAGATTGTTTCAATTCTTGACTTCTTCAGCCTTCAGTCTATTCAATATTTTGTCGAATAGATGAAGTTCTTCCGACGATGTATTTATCATCTGACCATTGTAAAAATGTTGAACTGAAGTTGATGCGTAAGTTTCTGAACTTAGATCTTGTCATTGAGATGACTTTGAACTGATTATCTTTGTCAGTAATTCATATCTGAATGTGATTGAACTCCATGGAATTATCCTTTGCCTTATTTTGGCGAGATTGCTGATGCGTTGACCAGCATCAACCTTTACTGTAGCACGTTGACGGGCGTTAACACAGTTTATACTCATACGTATGTTAGAGTCTATACAATTTAAGCTCTTAAGGTATTGGAGCGTGGCGGTTCCAAATGTTAGGGCTGCAGAACCAACTGTTAAAGCTGATTCATCTACATGTATGGCTCTTATTTTGAAGTTGTTGCATGCTCAAGTCACGAGACCAACTAATTAATGGGCTTGGTGCGTCAATGGCTCACATTTATAGGATTTTTGACAAACCATCAACCATCAACGGGTTTGATAAGCCTTTACCGACTACCATTTGAGTCGGGCTTGCATGCGAATTGTTTAAGTCCGTTTCACATGTAACGTTGTGCTAAAAAAGTTAACTCTTTTAGTACTACGATATTGAATATGTAGACTTCTTCTTTCTCATAGGAATAGACTATCCGATCGTATGTATCAAATACAGACTCAGGATTTTTGGCAAATCCTTAGCCATCAACGGATTTGACGTGCCTTTATCGATTACCGTTTGAATCGGGCTTGCATGCAGATTGTTTAAGTCCGTTTTGTATGTGACGTTGTGCTAAAAGAGTTAACTCTTTTAGTGCTACGATATTGAATACGTAGATTTCGTCTTTATCACGAGAATAGACTATCTGGTAATACGTGTTAGGTGCTGACTTATCCCTTCTTAGGATTCGGGATAAAAGTCCCCGTACGTGTAAGGCGCGGATTTTGGCGTTATTAATAACGGCTTGTCATAATATCGAATATATGGGCATTTATCCTTTTTTACGGTCAAGGACTAACCAACAAACGCATGTTAGACGCTGACTTATCCCTACTTAGGCTTCGGGATAAAATTCTCCAGAGTTGGACTCTGGTGTCTTCTTCAATCGATGAAAGACTAAACTAGCAACGCGTGCTAAGCATTGACTTATCCCTACTTAGGCTTCCGAATAAAGTTCTCCGTGTGTGTAAGACACAGATTATGGTGATATTA